TGCCACTGCTATATATAACCGCTGCAAAAGATTTACCTTCGCTGTTCCCATCGGTTCACGGATGTTGCGAGATGCACCGTCCCTATTCTGCGCCTGTCACTTCGCCTCCTGGTATGGCTCATGATAGCAAGCGAATGCTGGTCGACTCGACGCAGGATGATGAGGATCCAGCGGATACCGGAACAACCAATGCCAAATGTTGACGTCTCCTCCGACCTCGATATTATTCATGCAGAATTACCCTCACTCGAAAAAACCACATCATCGTCAATCAATACAAACCCGGAGACTCTACCTCAACTTATGTGATTACCTGCCTACCTTTATCAACCTTCGAGTTTTGGAGCCTATACAACGACCAATGATATCTGCAACCCTTCGCTTCAATACGTGATGCATTCCCCTTTTGTGTTTTTAATTCTGCTCACATTTCTAGTCGTTACAGGCGACTACTGCTACGGATATTACATCGTTCATTAATGCGCCAAACCTGTACATCGCCGAAGACGATGACGGATATATCAACAGTGTACGCACAACCGTTCCCGAACAACCAAGATGCTAAAGTTTACTCTTCCCAATATTGGACTTCCACCTCTGACCAAGGACTCCTTGCATGCAATCACGTCGGAACTCTCACCGTTGGAGAGGTGTTTAATAAACATTATGTCTTCGATTCCCATCCCCGCTTCTTCATTCGTACCCCATACAGTGTCACCTGCGGTTTCAATTACATGCCTGGCGACTATGCCATTTCCGAATACAATCCCATGTAGAAACGAGACGGCATCCCATTTCAAAGCAACGTTGATCCAGATATCAGTCAGATACCTAATTTCTCCTTTGGTATATACGAACACGCCATGAATCCCATCTTCCTCTTCTTACCTTTCATTGAACCTGTGTCTTCCTCTGAAGACGTGGTCTGTATCATGGGCCACGTTCTTCTAGATACCCAACTCACCATGACCCTGTATTACCCCAAGCTGGTTCCCAACCCATTATCTCTTCTGGTTCTCGGACACAATGGCTTAACGCCAATGTTCTTTGTCAACAAGGTTCCTACACTGATATCACTTTACAATTTTCAACGTTTCGTCGTCACGCATAAACTATTTCACCTGTACACTGTGTTCTTCATTACGCCAAGCCCACATTGTGGTGACACAAAAATAAACCTAGTCTTCCGATCCATCCCTCCTTTCGGTGGTTACAAATTTCTCTGATTGTCCGCTGCTCGAGCGCCGTGTCGGGTAGTGGTTTGACAGCAAAGCTTTGGGTTTCGCAAAAACGTTTACAGGTCGACTCGTGTTGGCTTCGCCATCAGCCGTAGGCTGGCAAGAGCCAGCTTTGTTGCACACGCTCCCTTTCCTACATATGCGCCGATACTATTTATTTCCCGGGCATAACAGTGCTGCTGTACTAGCCGAACTACTGTTTCCGCCGCAGAAATTTCGGTTATGCTAAGAAGCCCCGGTGGTACCGACTGCTTTGTGACGTTATTTAACCGGTATCTGATAAACATTTTGAATCGAGACGGCCAGGCCACAGATTTCAATAGCTGGAGCCATCTAGAGTACCTTCTGATCAGCATATGTAGAGGTGGGATCTTCCGATACTGCGAAAACTTAGGCTATCGTGCGTTTATATTCCACACTATCTGGTGTAGGGAACGACCTTATAGATGCAGGCCACTGACGTTCGCAACCCCACAGGAATTCAGCCCCAGGGAACCAATACTTCAGCCGAAGGCATGAAAACACGCCTCGCGACAACTGGACGGCTGGATTGTCTTCCGACTTTACTTGCCCCCATTGATTTGGTGATGACACGTCATGGATAGCCGACAGGCAATAAACGTGCTGAATCTAGTGGACAGGTTCTTTATGTGATACAATGCCACCATAGAATCTGTCCAAAAAAGATTTTTCGAAGTAAATCTTTTACCCTCGGGTCACATCTTCAAACATGCGGATCGCGAGCTTGTCCGCTGTTAGTTCTAGCCTGGGAATGGACACAGATTTCAGGGGAGCAACTGTAGATTTCGCATACAGCAGACAACCATGTATACTTGTGCCTGAATTGCCGAAACCTGCATAGGCGACCGCTCGGTAGCCCTTCTCTGAATTGTCGCAGAATATGTGAAGTTGTGGTGGCTGTGTTCCATGGTTACATCCAAGTACACATCTTGATACCTTTATTGCACGTAATTCTAGCATTCCTACCAGCCAATTTTCCCATACAACTTCATCTGCTTGGTCGATAAGCTGGTTCCAACCGAGTTTATCCCCACACAACTTCTGTAAGAGGATCTTGGCGGACATGATACTTGGAGCAACCAAACCAAGGGGGTCGTACATGGAGGAGACTACGGACAAAATCGATCTTCGTGTCTTCGGGCCATCCTTTACTGCGAACCTGAACAAGAAGGCGTCCTCCACCGCGTCCTATTCTATGCCTAATGTGTGTTGCACCTGTTTAGGTTCCCCAGGATCGCGCTTGAAATTTCAGTGGCTGGCAAGATTTCAAGCACCACCACACTGTTAGAAACCCACTTTCGAAGCTTAAATCCAGCTTTGCCAAGTAATTCCTGAATTTGTACAACAAACTGTACCGCTTCAGCGACACAAGGCAGTGAAACCAGACAATCGTCAACGTGAAACCCATTCATGACGGTGTCTGACACACTTCTGTTATATCAATTTTCCCACTCTTTCGCTGTTTGTTGCAAGGCAAAATTGGCACAAAAGGGGGATGAAGTCGCTGCAAATGGATGGGCGGTCATCTGATACTCCAGCGTATCCAATTCAACATCACTCTCTGGACCACAAGAAACGCACCTTCATCTGCATAAACATTTCTTCAATGTCCGCAACCACTGCGACTCGGTTGTTTCTGAAACGCATTAGAACCCCTACGAGGCTAGAAGTGCTGTCCGGACTTTGCAACAAGCAGGCCCTTGTACTTTGCAGTGCAATCAAAAACAACCGTCAGCTTATCGGTTTTTTAGGATTTATCACCGCGTGATGAGTTAGGTACCACCTTGGAGCATATTGGGATTCCAACTGGTTTGATGGAACAGGCACTGCATACCCTTTACTGATGGTAGCCTCGATGGCCGCAGCGTACGTTTCACCGAATGGGCGGTTAGTTTTCAAACGTTTTCGCAAGCACTCTAGACGCCGGAGCGCCATCTCGTAATTATTCGACATCCCGACCAGCGAATTTCTCCATGGCTTACATGTGAATCAGAGCATGAAGCACCATCATGATATTCATCAAGGACTTGCCGGTATGCTGCATCATCCATGGGATTATAAAAAGTAACATTCCTTGCAGACATTGTCCGATGTGATTGAGAGTGAGTTCCAGTTCACTCCAAGGCGTTAAGCACCGTCGAATTCCGGGAATCCAGTTGAAAGCCAACGAAATGCTGTTGAGTACGGCACTCGATACTTCCAACTTCACTCCAAACGAGGAAGCATTATTGAATACTGTAAGCGACAATTCGCTTTGAAGGGTCTTGAGCCAACGCGTATCCAACCAGTCAAAGAACAAGAACACTGGACAAGATGACGGTACTGTTCACTGAAGCAATAATAGTACAAACCTCAATGCAATTTCAAAGGAAATACAATCCGGTCCGAGACCAACAACAAACGGGGTAATGGGAAATCATAGTCGCTTAAACCTCGTGAACTACCCGACGGCCTTTCTCAGGGCCACCCACTGTCTTATAACCTTTCGGTTCATCCTTACATGCTAGTAGTGCCTACTCACAGGCTTGCATGCGCCGCACCTAGGTATAGTGGTGAGTATCTCCGCCTGTCACGTGGAAGGTCCGGGTTCGATTCCCGGCCGGAGAGTCAGGATTCTCGATGCCCTGTGTTCAACTCAGCCATCCGCCAACCATCGAGTGTGGACTATTCCGAGCGCAATTATCGCCCCCAATTATCTTCGCCATTATCACCGCAACTATCACCGAAATTATCCTCAACTATCCCAAAACGTGCCCTCGCTACAGGCGTTTACATGCTTTCCCATACTAATGACGAGCAGTGTAATTATCATCCTTCACACTCATTTCACGCATCCGGTTTTCATCCGGTCTGAGTTTGACCAATCGCATGAACTTCACTTGTCCTATATACCCAGTGTACTGTAATCTGTATCGCACTGACGATGTGAAACACTTTCTTTTTGATCTCGGACCGAAGTGTATTTCCTTTGAAATTGCGTTGAGTGGAAGCGCTACTATTGAGGTTTGTACTATTATTGCTTCCGTGAACAGTACCGTCATCTTGTCCAGTGTTCTTGTTCTTTGACTGGTTGGATACGCGTTGGCTCAAGACCCTTCAAAGCGAATTGTCGCTTACAGTATTCAATAATGCTTCCTCGTTTGGAGTGAAGTTGGAAGTATCGAGTGCCGTACTCAACAGCAGTTCGTTGGCTTTCAACTGGATTCCCGGAATTCGACGGTGCTTAACGCCTTGGAGTGAACTGGAACTCACTCTCAATCACATCGGACAATGTCTGCAAGGAATGTTACTTTTTATAATCCCATGGATGATGCAGCATACCGGCAAGTCCTTGATGAATATCATGATGGTGCTTCATGCTCTGATTCACATGTAAGCCATGGAGAAATTCGCTGGTCGGGATGCCGAATAATTACGAGATGGCGCTCCGGCGTCTAGAGTGCTTGCGAAAACATTTGAAAACTAACCGCCCATTCGGTGAAACGTACGCTGCGGCCATCGAGGCTACCATCAGTAAAGGGTATGCAGTGCCTGTTCCATCAAACCAGTTGGAATCCCAATATGCTCCAAGGTGGTACCTAACTCATCACGCGGTGATAAATCCTAAAAAACCCGATAAGCTGAGGGTTGTTTTTGATTGCGCTGCAAGGTACAAGGTCTTTTTCTTATTCATAATGAGATGAATGGCGGTACAAAGGCATCCTTATCGATATTGTTAACGTGTAGTAATTGGTGGAAAAAGGGAGTATGTGGATCGTCTGGATGCGTACACTGTTTTAAGTGGTGGTTACTCTGGATGTAATCTTCGAAAGTCATGGATTGCTGTAACAAGATAATCTCTCCATTGAAGGTTTCAATGCAGAGTTTGGCTGTTTCCTCCCACTGAAGACCAAACTCTCGATAAATGCGTAGCTCTTGTTGCCGCGTAAGGTTGCGTTTCAAATGATTAATATGTGTAGAGTGGTACGTTTCAATTAGATCCGTTAAAAGATCGATACGTTTCCCACGATTAACGTTTGTGTGAAGCTGTTTTCTAGAGACTCTATTAATGGTAGCGCAATCCCTTTGATCGCCGGTGTGAGAGCAATACTGTCTGCCAAATGTTGAAATTTGGTTCCAAGTAGCTGTACGGTATAGCCGGTACGTGAATGGTAAACAGCTGGCTTACTCCAATCGATAACGGGTTGTATAGTTGTAAGGATATCAAATGTGAAGGTTTCGGGTATGGAACAGGCCTTAAGTAAACGTTTTAGCGCCCAGTTACTGTTGTTTGGAGAGGATGAGAAAACAAAATGGTAATGGTCGGAATGCTGTATAACTAAAGCATTGACATGGGTACCTTTAATGAATGTAGTAGGTGATCCTCTGTAGATGAATGTCCAAAGATTGTTATCGGTATTAAACTCAGCTTTGATGGTTTCGAACAGAGTGTCGTTGTCTAGAGCAGCGGTATTTTTAGGAACATCCGCAGCGTTTGCATCAGCTTGAAACATATCAGCTAGTTTTTTATCTGATACAGGTTCGAAATCTTCGCTGGGCGAGGGTTGGCAAGGTGTAGCTGACATATCGTCGATGAACTGAGTAAGCTTTGGTTTTTTAGCTGGAGTTGTAGACTCAAATTCTAGTTTCCTTTTGGACAGATTCTGAGGTGATGTTTCAGCTACTGGTTCTTGTGGTGTGGATTCACGCTTGGCTACTGACATTGGTGGTACGGGCTGAAACTCCTGAGATTCGGTACATTGCTGAAGCCATTTGGTGTATATAGTTGGGAAGTGGTAGCGTAGTTTTTCACTTTGAATCCAATGGGGATATGATAGCGGAAAGTTGAATTTGGTACGATCGTCCTTGTAAACTTGGAACCGTTCTTCGAAGGATAAGCTAGATAGGTGTTCAGGTAGAGGTACGTCTTGCTCCTTCATACGTTGAATAACGTAGAAACGACGAAGCTGTTCAGAGGCAGCAGGCATGGTATTGGAGGAACGGAGTGGAAGGAGCCTTAATATGTAGAGTGAATGTGGAGGTTCCTGAAAAATGATTGGCGATGCAGATGAATGGTCGAGCTGAAGGACGCAAGAAATGTTTCGTATACTCCCTTCCTTTCGTCCTCAGCGTGATAGATAAATTATCCGCACTATTTTGGATAAGGCTTTCATCCCAAATATATCACAAGCTACATACCAGAGCCTAGTCCGGAAAAGTGCCAGATGCGTTTCGCCCTATTGGGGTTCGTCCGTGGCACGCATTCCCTCGGTCATCTAAGGAGGATCAAACTCATGACCGCTAGAGGCACATGCCAACTAGCCAGCAGCTTAAGCCACTGAGCCATGGGGGACGTTGGCTGGGCTACGTAATTTGCAAACTAACTGACATATAGCACCACCTAGCCTGTTAGGTGATGACGTCCTCTCACTAGACGCTATATCCATAGCGTTTGAAACTAGGGGAGGCTATTTTTATTTTATATTACTCACGAGTAGCAGTATTTTAGTTGCATTTCTGATAAGGCTTTATCCCAAATAGTTCACAAGGTACATTGCAGAGCCTAGTCCGCACTATTGTCCTTTCCGTAAGTTTGCATCCTCCGGATGGTATCCCTAAAACTTTGTTGGGGTTGGCTAAGACAGTTAGTGTAGGCTCGTGCTGGCTACGCCAACAGCCTTAGGCTGGCAAGAGCCAACAAAGTCTTAGGGATACCATCTGGAGGAATAGACAGTTAAGGAAAGGGATTTTCAGAAGCAAAATTCCTTGCAGACAATGTCCGATGTGATTGAGAGTGAGTTCCAATTCACTCCAGGGCGTAAAGCACCGTCAAATTCCGGGAATCCAGTTGAAAGCCAACGATAATTACACTGCTTTTCATCAGTGTGGGAAAGCATGTAAACGCCTGTAGCAAGGGTACGTATTGGGATAATTGCGAGGATAATTTGGGTGGTAGTTGCGGTGATAATGGCGAAGATAATTGGGGTGATAGTTGCGGTGGTGATGGCGAAGAAAATTGGGGGTGATAATTGCGCTCGGAGTAGTCCACGCTGGATAGTTGGCGGATGGCTGGGTTGAACACAGAGCATCGAGAATCCTTCTACACTCCCGCCAAATTTCGGACACAAATTTCACCTTCGGGATCTTGAGGTACTCTGGTTCACCCTAACCTGCTCCATCCACTATGGAGAAGAGTAGGACTTACAATGGTACGTCTAAAATTCTCCACTTCCATCTGTTGAACTCACGGCGGTCCTCCCTGTTTCAGCAGGTCCGAAATCCCACCTCCTACTTGCGGAGAATCAACAGCGGGGCTGACGCCTTACCCCATTCGCTGTCTTCGATAAGGCAGATCTTTCTAACTTCGCGCTCAAACACTCTCCTCTTTATTCTAACCAACACTGTCTTTACTAAGCCGTCGTCGTAGGTCTTGTTACTCTCAACCACTGCCAAAGGCCAGCTGTCCCGACGGAGTGAATCCGAAGTAACTAACACCGTGTCTCCAGGCCTATAGTTGCCACTGTAAACGTCAATAATGCTTAGAGGATAGTCGAACGACGCGTTGCCAACCAAACTGCGGTGTCCAAGATCGATTCAACGACCAACCAAAGAACCGGAACGGAGGCAACCCCACCGGTAACCGCAAAAAAGGCCACGGTTGTTGAACTACGGTGTTCTGTGTTACAAGAATAAAGTATCATAATTACGACATACCAACCATATCCTCACAAACTAGGTACAGAATGAGCGATCAGGGCAACGAGCGACAAGTTACTGGTTCAAGTACCATGCAAACTAAAGGCAAACACACACTGGAGGTATAATGGCCACGACCGGGACGAATCCGGACGCATGCACAGAGGGTGGAATCAGTCAATGGGGGAAAGCCTTGAGGTCGCAAATCCAGACGTGATTTGTCCTAGAGCTAGGACAGACACTGGGCAGAACGCAAGTGAGTCAATCGGTTGTGCACAGAGAGAGAGGGTCGATACGCCAATTAGACGTCTACGTGCAGGGTGAACAAAAAATGATCGATAGGGTAGACTACAAATCATGGGGCGGATTGATGCGAATAGGCGATATTCTGGTTAACAAAGGGCGCACATGAGTAGGTGTCAGGTGTAAGAGGTAACGGGCTTCGAATGTTATTGTAAACACAAGCAAGGGCATGGGGAAGATTGGGTAGGGATTTGCTCCAGGTGTGTAGCAATGGCAATTGAACAAAATTGTCCTTTACACTCCTCCGCGAAAATCTGACCAGGATTTTCAAATTGTTGAAGACATGTTCTAGCCTGGATCGCCTATCCCCCGCTCCATCCATGCTGGGAGGATACAGGACGTACACCAGTACGCCTGCACCTCCCACTTCGGCTGCTGGACTCACAGCTGTCCTCCCTGGAGCGGCAGATTCATCAACCCGCCTCCCGCCTGCGGAGAGCCAGCAGCCGGAACTACGCCCCCTTCTAGCCGACTACCTTCTAACAAACAGACTTTTCGCACATCCCTCTTCAATAAACCATCCTTCGTCCTGACGTTCACTGTTCTTACGAGACCATCTTGGGACGTGACACTGCTTTCAACTACTCCCAACGGCCACATGTTGCGCGAAACAGCTTCGGAAACAACTAAAACCACGTCTCCAGGTTTGAAATTCCGACACGGATTTAGCCATTTCTCTCTAGAATTCAAAAGAGGTAGATACTCTGTAACCCATCTCTCCCAGAACAAGGCTGTGAGATAATTTACTTGCTGCCTAGAATGTCTACATGCATCAGCTACAGACTCAGACAATAAACCCGCTGGATTTGGTCGCAGTATCAACAAGTCATTCGTAGTTAGGGCCGGTCGGTCGGTTGAGTCAGAAGTAAGGGGGACCAATGGTCTGCTATTAATAATACGCTCGGCTTCAATAATCAAGGTAATCAATGCTTCCTCACTCAAAACTTGTTGTGTCACAACCGACAGCAGTATTCTTCTTACCGATCGCACGATGTGTTCCCATACTCCACCTCTATGATTAGCCGCTGGCGGGTTAAAATTCCATTGCACACCGAATAATAGCAGCTTATCATTGATATATTTTTCTGACCACCTCTTCATGGCAGCCCGCAGTTCTGCAACTGCTCCCACAAAATTATCTCCATTATCACTAAATATTTCTGCCGGACCTCCTCTGCGGGCAATGAATCTCATCAACACCATTATAAAGGAGTCGGTGTTCAAAGTGTAAGTCATCTCAATATGCACGGTCCTCGTTTGCAAGCACGTGAATAGACAGCGATATCTCTTTTCCTGTTTCCTCCCGTGCTTGACAATAAACGGTCCAAAATAATCAACACCAACAAATTTAAAGGGATACCTTTCCTTTCAATCCGAACTAAAGGCAATGGTGCCATCATCTGTTGACCGGCCATGGCAAGCCGTCTTCTGCATATTCAACAACTTCCTGTTACTCTCTTTACGGCAGATAATCCCCTAACAATCCAATATTTTCGGCGTAAACTCGCCAAAACTTGTGAGGCGCCTGATTGACCTTCAAGAATATGATAAAGTCTTATCAGCAACACAGTGACCGCATGCTTTGGAGGTATAATAGCAGGGAACTTAAAGGAACTGTTATAACCCGAGTATGGTAGTCTTCCTCCCAGACACAGTATTCCATCTCGCAAGATGGGGCAGAGCCACGACAGACTCCCTAGCCGCGCCTTTCTTTTAGGTGGCATTATTCCTTCGTCTCTTCCATTCGTTTTATTTCATCACCGTAAACTTCATTCTGTGCCAATCTAATGACATCAAATTCTGCCTTTTTGAGTTCGTGGAGCGTAATCAAACTGGTATACTGTGGGCCGATATCTGAATCATACGCGCGAGCCTTCAGGTACTTTTTGAATCGGGTTAGCCACACAACTGACTTCAACAACTTGAACCAATCGGAATATCTTCGGATTAAGATTGACAAGGATGATTGGCATGCCACCATGTTCACCTGGACCTTCACACGCTTTAATTCTATGTCATGCGGTTCGGAATTCAAACACTTATCTGGCCATTCGTCGTTATCGCTCAGTAAGAAATCTGGCCCATGGAACCAGCTCTCCAAACGTGCAGAAGAATAGCTACCTCTTGAGAGTATATCTGCTGGGTTACTACCAGACATGACATGCTTCCACTGGCTAGGGTCTGTCAACTCATGAATTACTGATAATCGATTTGAATCAAAGGTGCTGAATCGCTTCGACGTATCATTAATGTAGTACAAGACCGTTGTGGAATCCGTCCAGAACCAGACGTTCTCAAATTCCAACTGGGCTCTCTCGGTCACATCCTCAAATACACGCGTGGCGAGCACAGCCGCAGTTAATTCTAACCGCGGAATCGAAACACTCTTCAAAAGAGCCACTCTTGACTTCGAGTACATCAAAGCGCAGCGTCTGTTGCCCTTAATGCGGAACCTGGCATAAGCCACGGCCCCGTATCCAGTCTCCGAAGCATCGCAAAATATATGCAATTGTGGAGGTCCCAAAGTCTCAGCGCCATTACGAATGCAACGGGGAATTTTCAGGAAACCCAACGCCTTGGTCATTCTTATCCAGGTATGCCAGGCAGCCTCGCTTTCACCGGTAATCAACTCATCCCAGCCTACCTTATCTCGACACAACTGTTGCAGCAATAGCTTCACCGGCATGATCAATGGGGCTATCGTACCCAAAGGATCGAAGCTAGATGACACCACAGACAAGATTCCTTTCCTTGTGCTTGGACCTTCGGTTACCACAAAGTGGAAAAGGAACACATTCTGCCTGGGATCCCAAGACAATCCCAACGTCCGGCTAACTAACCCCGGTACCTCAGCTATTGGCTTCACTGCCTCCGCAATTTCGGCAGATGGGACCACTTCATAAACCTCATCGATATTGCAGACCCATTTGCATAGCTTGAAGCCGCCTCTACTCAACATCTCTCTGATCTGCGTTACAAACGAGCGCGCTTCCGCAGGAGTAGGGAGTGAAATCAAAAGATCATCAACGTAAAAATCACG